TTTTCTCCTCATTCCTTAGTATCTTCTTTCTAAATGAATCATTTGTCCTCTTAACTGAAAAGATTAAACTAAAGAACACAAAGCTAAGATAGATCAGGATAAGCAGTAAGAAGTGTTATTTCACCAAATAAATGCATGCAGCTTAACTTAGGCATATACTAATCTCTCTCCAAAATTATAATCAACACTATTTATCTATTATCTATCTATCTATCTATCTATCTATCTATCTATCTTTCTTTCTTTCTTTCTTTCTTTCTTTCTTTCTTTCTTTCTAGACACGGTCTCTATATAGTTCTGGCTAGCCTTATCTCTCTCTCCAAAATTATAACCAAAACTTTTTTTGGGTGGAGGGGTCTCTCTATATAGTTCAGGCTGACCTTGATGTAGCCTAAGCTGGACTTGAACTTGTGGAGATCCTCTTGCCTCAGCCTCACAAGTGCTGTGATTGCACTGCGCACCACAATGCGCAGCCAAAACTATTTCTCTTAACATGAACATTGAAGTTAGCCAGACTGACAAAAATAATTAAAGGTAATTTCAAGGCTGAACACTAGGTACACTACTACTGTTGCGTATATGTACTTCCAAATGTATCAAGAAGTGTTATATTCTGGATCTGATAAAATACAAGAAATAAAAGAGTTGTAAAACCTTGCAACCTGGTCCCACTGAATACCCTCATAGCTATATGGTAAATAAATCAGCAACAGATGAAATGGCTCTAAAGTAGTCCTTTCCATCAAGTAGGTAAATACTTAGTAATAGTTCATTAAAAGCTGATGAAGGGCTCAGGATGTAGCTCAGTGATGAAGAGCACTTGCCTATCTTGCATCAATCCCTGGGTTGGATCCGGAGAACCATGGTGGTGGTGGGAGGGGTGTGTGCTGGTGTAAACTCAGTACCCAGTCCCTGGTGTTCAGTAAGAATAGCATTCAGCACTCAAGGGCAACACTTCTTGACATCCACTATCACCAGAAGAGTCAGTACCCTCTAAAGACACAAATTTAATCTAGACAATGAAAAACTTTATCCACAATGAACTAGGTCTGGCTACTCCCAGAAGGACAGCCAAGTTTCCTATAATATTCATCTAATTCAAGAACTGTGCATTCTACTGTATGCTCGGTACTCACAGTGAGAAAATCTCAAGGTTACATAAAAAATTATCTCTAAAAACCTTTTCAATGTTGTCCTAGGTAGACATAAATACACAGATCATATACAGATCATTTCACCAGTATTTGCTGGTTTTTCAGAAGCCTCTAGACAGGTCTGTACTGGACAAGATACTTATTGACCTGGTCATTCTTATGACATTTTCAATACAATGGCCTGGGAAATGGCCATGAAACCCACTAGCTCACATACAAATCAAAACTGTAAGCCAGGCATGGTAGGATATACCTATAACCCCAGCATTCTAGGAAGCTGAGAAAGAAGGATGGAAAGTTTGGGCAGCTTAGCAAGACCTTTTCTCAAAATTAAAAATAAAAACATCAGAGATATAACTCAGTGTGAAGGCCCTTGCCTCAATCTACAATGCACACTAGACCAGAAAAGAAACCGAACCAAAACAAATGAAAAAAAAACTGCAACTAACCTCACTGTCTTTCCCCCAAAGCATAATTATAACAATTTACTATTGCACATCGTGACTACAATTAATAATAATCTGAAAATTGCTAAAACAGATTTTGTGTTCTCACACCAAAAAATTTTTTAAAAAAAGATAAGCAGGGTAATATATATACAAGGGCTAATTAAAATATAGTGTGTTTAAGGGCTGGGATTTGGCTTAGTGGTTCTACTGCCTGCCTCACAAGCACAAGGTCCTGAGTTTGATCCCCAGTACCAAAAAATAAAAAATAAAATAAAAAAATTTTTTAAATATATAGTGTGTTAAAATTTTTTAAAGTACGATATTAAAATGTATATTGCCATTAGCCCCCTCAAAATACTATCTACCCCTCTCTGAACATTTATCTCATCGTTCTTGTAACTTTCTAAAGCAGTTCTCTTTTATGTTTGAGATATGACCAAAAGTACAGTGAGTATTAATGCCAAGTGCCATCTGACAGAAAGGCAGGCTCATAGAAACATGGTGTGTCCTTATCCATCCTATTCACTGGACCTGGCACCATGGGATTTTTGGCTCTTTCCGGAAGTCAAAATGACCGTGAAAGACAAAGGCTCTGAACTGATTCCACAACAGCAGATTGAAAGACACTCAAGTAAGGTCTTCCAGAACTGCTACAGAAAGTAGCAAGAGTATGTTCCAAGAGAAGGGGAGTATTTCAAGAAGGAATAACAATGTGTCTTTTACTGCAATACTTTTTTTTGGGGTACCAGGAATTGAACTCAGGATCTTGCACCAGGCAGGCACAACACCACTGAGCTAAATCCCCAGCCCTGTAATTTTTTTTAAAAATATTTAAACATTCACTGTATTTATCAATCATACCAAATAGTATGTTTTAGCCATTCTGCAATGTGTATCTAACATGTTGTACTCCATAAATATGCAATACTTTACTTGTCAATTGAAAAAAAAGAACAATGATGTACTAAATGCTTCTCCCTTCTTCCTCAACCAATTCCTCCTTTTGCTACCTCATGTCTTGGGTATTCTCAATCTGAATTCTACCTATCCTTCAAAACTCAATTCAAAACCCATTTTGTCTATCACACCTTACCCAATGGCACCAATAATACCACACTGTCTCTGAAATCAAAAGCACATACTATCTTCACTCACTTTCCTGTCATCCAATAATAACAAATGGACTAGAGGGGTGGCTATATTGCCTAGTGACACTGTAGCCATCTTGCACTTCATCCTGTTTCCACAAAAATGAAACCAGCTAATGCATTTCTTGAACTTGCCCCTCTCCTAAACAATGCAAGACTAGGTTGTTACTTTTACTTTTTCCTCGTCTGTTTCCTCTGTTTTGTTTTCCCAGACAGCCTCTCACTTTGCAGTTCTGGCTGGCCTCAAACTCACAGTAGTTCTCCTGCCCCAGCCTCCTGAGTGCTGGGATCACATGCATGTGTCACCATGCCTGGCAAAAGTGAGGTTCTTAAAAAGTAAGAACCACATATTCCTCCATATCACCTCCACAACATCCCACAAACTAAAACTATAATAGTAGTTTATATGGTTACGTTCAATTGCGATGGCCTCAATTTACAAGTCGGGCACGTTACAATAAATTAAACTAAAAAGATCAAGAACTTCTCCCCGCATCTAACAAAGGCTTAGAAAAACATCCCCCAAAGCCTTTCAAATATCTATTTTAAATGAGCATATGAAGTGATAAGATACAACAAAACTGGAAATGTGGACTAAGTTTTCTCGCTCTGAAAAGCAAATTAATGAACAGCAACTTAAAGATCCAAAGGGCCAAGGTCACGATGGCATCATAGTCAACATGTCATTATTGGTCACACACACTGGCTGAACTTCAGATTCCCTATGTGTGTTGAGAGATTTCCGGAGGTTCTAACACCTACTGGAAAAAAAACAAAAAAAACAAGGTCTTCCCAACACTGAAATATGGCAGAAAGCACATAAACACAGCAAAATCAACAAGCAAAACCAGGTAGCATTAGCGGGAACTATGATTAATTTAGAGTGAGGCAAGTAAATGGAAAGAAACGTCTTAGCTGAGTGTGGTGATACACACATGTTATTCCAGCACTCTTGGGGGCTGGGGGTCGTAGACTTGCAAGTTCAAGTCCTGCCTGGGGAACTTCGATATTTTGCAAAACCCTGTCTGAAAATTAATAATTAAAGGACTGCAGATGTAGTTCAGTGCAAAGGTCCTGGGTTCAATCCCCAGTACCTGCCCCCTGCAAAAGCCTGAAAACACGCACAAACACACACACACACATAACTTTAGGTGCAAAAGCTATAAAATACTATCTAGGGACTTATGTACTGTATCCCAGTTGTGTTTCTAAGAAATAAAGACACACAGGCACACTTTAGTAGGCCTTCTCCCAGATTCTGAGACACTATAAATATAAAGGTAAATTGCTATGCAGCCACGGTGTTTGTCTTAAGACTGAATCTGGGTATTTCTAAAACCCAAAACAACTTCTGGATTTGGACGCTGGCACTGTCTAGCACACTGCAGAAGCGTTTTCTTCACAGACCAGACCACTACTTCTCTACTGGCTGACAATCTAGCAGAAACAGGTGAAAACCAATCCTAAGGAAGGAAGCAGATCCTAACATTCTGCCCTGGATCTTTTGCTTCATCGAACAGAGTGGGGGAGGAGCGGGTATGAGAGGTGGCACTAAAAACACTGGCAGCATGACACCTAAAATAAACTAAGTTAAAACATGTTCTACCTTGCTCCTAAATGCATTTCCTTCCATAGTAGGAGGGAGCACAGGCAGTCTACAAGTCATCAACACACCATTATTTTCACTTTCACAAGAGCCGTGGAAACCACTGAAGACCAAAATCCCTCTCCCCCGTTACCTTCCAGCCCTCTCTGTGCTTCCATCCCCAGAGACAAACGAACAGGAACAATCTTCAGCAATCCGTTACTTTCCCTCACTGACTATACGAAAGGTATAAAGCAAAAGTGTTTGTGAAAAGTGGGAAAAGAAACACAGCACGAGAAGCAGCGAGGAGAGGGTAGGTACGGTGGGAGGCACTGCGGAAAGGAGACAAGGTGAAGAAGTGCCATAAAATTGAGGGGAAGAGTTGTCAGGAAAACTCGCAAAGGAACACAAAAAAGATGAAGGAGGGCAGGTACAAAGATGGGGGGAAATGAGGGGCAAGGTGGAACAACCCAAGCAGGAAATAGGGCTGGGCAAGAGTTACAGAGCCAAGGCCCCGGACGCCAGGATCTGGGGCCAGGGAACGGAGGCGGCCGGCAGCAGGTCCTGGGAGAGCGGTGTCGGCAAAGAGGGGAAGATCCGGTTTCCGACCTGGGGGTCAGGAATCTAAGCCGGCCCCGAAACACTGCGGGCAAGGGGCTCTTACCGGTAGTTTGGGGCTGACCTCGCCCTTGCAAAAGTGGCAGAAAAACCGGTGGGCGGCTACAGCTTCCTCCTTCGCGTCCGCCCCAGCCGCCGAAGCCTCCGCCATTTTTCTCCTCCGATGCGGCTGTCCGAGAGGGCAGCCGGCCGCTGCC